TTCCACGATTTCCAACGTTAGCTTGCTTATCGGCGACATAATTATAGTTATAGTCTAACATACCCCCCAAAACCCGATTCAAATTATTAAGGCCCCTATATTATTGGTTTGAAAGTACATTTTCAGAGTCATTCGGGGCCCAGCCTAGGCCTTATCCAACATCGTGAGCTATTGGACAGTGGACATCAGCGGTGATGCAGCTGCTTTTCTTGGAAGTCCTCAAGACAGCTTCTTAGTTAGCCAACAGGAGAACTTTAAACTTTTTGGCCTTGTATATTTGGTCTATCCTAAAAAGTATGAACTCTTTTGGGCTTGGTTGTTGAAGAAGAGAGGCTTCATCGCTCCAGGAAAGTTTTCAGGGAACAGATTGAAAGAAGGCAAGCTTGCTTACTTGCCCGAAGAGCCCTGAGATTCAGTGATCGCATGCATGTAGTGTTTGCAGAGATGATGCGATCGGAAGTGCAAGAGTGCATGGGACTTGACATCAAAAGAGGTGGCAGCTGTGCAGCATGGAGTTAGGGCAAAGGTTTACGGCGAGGTGGGTGGAGTACATAGAGGCTCGGATTCAAACATTAGGGGCCTTCCTTAATAATTCGAATAGGGTTTGGGCCCCCATTATATTCTGTTTGCACCAACATAGTATCGGTAATTATTTAGGCCCTTATATTCCGTAAACCAAAACCCTCTTTGCTCACAGCCGCAAAGCCGAGGCCAGAACCCGAGGATGACTGGGATCCGCCCGATCCCGATGGGATGCCTCGGCCCAGGTGGGCTTATTCCCTTGGGCTATTTAGGGGGGAGAGAGTTTAGGGTTTAGGGTGTAGGTTTTGAGGGGGGAGAGAGTTTGGGGTTTGGGGCTTGAGGGCGGGGAGCGTTTATGGTGTGTGCCAGGGTTTAGGGTTTGAGGTGGGAGAGAGTTTAGGGTTTAGGTTTAGGGCTTGAGGGGGGAGAGAGTTTATGGTTTGTAGGGTTCAAGGTTTAGGGTTTGGGTTTAGGGCTCGAGCGGGGAGAGAGTTGATGGTTGGTAGGGTTCAGGTTTGAGGGTTTGAGGGGGGAGAGAGTTTAGGGTTTAGGGTCAGGGTTTGATGGGGGAGAGAGTTTATGGTTTGTTGGGTTTGGGGTTTTTAGGGTTCGAGGGAGGAGGGCTCTTAGGGGTTGTAGGACTCAGAATTTAATGGTTCGAAGCTTAAGGTTTTACGATTTCGGCTGTAGGATTCGGGATTTGACACCGTTGCTGTCATGTTGTTTTGTGGGCTGTCGGTCCTTAGATTGGGGCTTCGAGGGTTTCAGGCTTCAGTGTCAAGAGCTCGGGGTTTACCTTTTCTCTTGTAGTGTTATTACTTAGTTCTCCAATACCCAACCTTTAAACTTTCTGGGTTCTTGAAAGTTTAACCTTTATTTCCTTGGCTTATTGCCAGTAGGGCCTGAAACGATGAGGCTAGATTTGCTACCCGGTGCTTTGCACGACTGTAAATATGCTGGGTGAGCCGTGGGACACTACTTCTCATCATCATGTCAACGCCTAAATATCCCTAAACCCTACATCAAAAAGACCCAGAATCCTCAATCTCGAAACCCTATCAATTACATCCTTAAACCCTAAATCCTGAATCCAGAATGCTTAAAACTCCAAAATCTTCGCCCCTGGTCAGTGCGACGATGCTGGCAGCGTCACGGGCCTTGGCCGAGCCTTGCGAAGAAGGCTCTGTTCGGGTTCAGAGTTTTGGGCTCAAGGCTTCGGGTCCACAGAGCCCAATAATCGGGTATTTGGGCTTACAGCGAACCCCAGAAAGTTGGAACATGGGTTTAGGATGATTAGCGCTAGGATCCCTTCTATTTACTTTAATACAAGGATAATGATGTTCCAACTTTCTGGCTTCTAGTTTAGGATAGTAGTTTTGTAGGTTACTAGCCTGGTAGTACTTGGGAGAGTCTATGATTATGAAATTAGGTACTTGGACTCTTTTAAGGCTTAGGTTTGGGTTTAAGGTTTAGTTTTCAGAATTATGGGGATGAGGGTTCTCCTTAGTAGTCATATTCACTTACGGCCTTGCAGTGCCTTTGTTCTTGTGGTTGAAGACACCCCCAAGCTTTAATTCAGAACAGCCAGGTCCCAGCGTTTCGTGGGTTTCTACGGGGATGCCAGTCTTTCGGGGTTCATCGTTTAGGAGTTAGGGGGTTTAGGGGTGTGGGGGTAAGGGTTAGGGGTTGAGGGGTTTAGGGGTGTAGTGGGTAACGGTTATAGGGGTTAAGGGGTTTAGGGGTGTAGGGGTAAATGTTTAGGGGTGTAGGGTTCAAGGGTTCAGGGTTTTGGGATTTGGGGTTCAAGTAGAGGGTTTTGTGACCATCAGCATGGGGTCTGAGGAGGGACGGTGGGTGGGTCTCAAACATCAATATGTTTCGGTGTAGGAGTGTTGGGGCTTTTGGGGTTACGATTTGGGGATTTTTGGGTGTATGGGGTGTATAGGGTTTAGGTTTGAGGTTTAGGGTTTAAGGTTTGGTTAGTAAGCCATTTGAATGTATTGTGTCTTTTGTTTGGAGGGGGGTCGGGGGGGTTTTGGGTGGCTTCTTGTCTTCCGATGTGACCCTGACCACATAGTTGGCTATCCAAGCAAACGTGCTTCAATCCAGGGTTTAGGTAGCGAGCCCTACCAGCAATCCTCAGCCAAAAACTCGTAAACCCAAAGTCTTGTCCCTACCCTTAAATCTCTACCTTAAATCTCTAAACCCGAAACCCTTAAATCTCTAAACCCTAAACCCTTAAATCTCTACACCCTAAACCCGTAGGCCCCATAGTAGTTCCTTTTTGTGGTTTGCGCATTTAGGAACCTGGTAGGCAATCCCAAAAAGGAATTACTATGGGGCCTATGGGTAGATCTCAATCTTAAGTTGCCCAGCACGCTGAATCCTAAAACCTAAACCCTAAAACCCTAAAGCCCTAAACCCTAAACCAAAACCCTAAACCCTATAAACCCTAAAACCATACACCCTAAACCC